TTTGACGCTGTAAAGCGGATGATCTGGCGGGTAATTACTAAAGTCAAATAAATTACGCGTTTTGTTTAGGTAACCAGTTAAATCTTCGGAGCTTCGCTCGATTTGAACTAATAGAAAATCAGTGTCCGTATAAAGTAAATTTACTTTTTCGCCAAAAGTTGATTTTAGTTCGTTGTAGTAGAAATCGTACATTAACGTTTTTGAAATATCAAGAATACTTACACCGCAATAGATTGGCTTATTTAATTTTGTTTTGTTTCGGTACATCTCCACAAACGAAAGGGAACAGTCCTCAAGTGGCACCGTCGATTCGCAATTTGGTTTATACGTTNAAAGAGTACTAGAATTAAAATTGCATATTAATTGCGTGTAGCGATTCCACGATTTTGAAATTTGTTTTCAAATTAGTTCAAAACCCAAAGACTTTTCTAAACTACGTAACAAAACTTGTTAAACTTTTTTCTTTCTTTTTTATGTGTGTTTGTGGTCATTTGACATCTTATGAAATAAGGTCGCTCAAAAATCGGATGGAGTCCACATTTCACTCTAAATATCGAGCGGAGGAGAGTCTCACCCGGTGAAGAGTGATTACCTGGAACACAGTTTTCACTCGAAGTAGAGCAAATTCCACTCCAAAGCGAGCGAATATGAAGTCACTCGGCAGAAAGAGTGAAGTTTTCACTCTTTTGCATTTAGAGAGTACAAATATTGTGATTTTGCTGAAGAAAACCTTATGATGCCGATGAATTATTCAGGATTACCTTTGATTCATGCCCCATCAGCCTGAATGTCCCGCGCGTAACCGCTAACCAGCACAGAGGACGCGTTGGAGTCATGAACCTCATCCTCGTTCACCGAGAAAAATGTTTATATGTTACGTTGCATGCACACAGCGATCGTGGCTCGCGTGTTTAGCATGCATTTGCACAAAAATGTGAATGCGGGCTTACCGAGGACAATAAAGCGTAATCACACTCGCAACGAACTGGACACGACATAAGTAATGCTGAGGAAACTTGCGTATTTTTTATTGGTAAAAGCTGCCGATATCTTGGGGTTTGGGGATTTGTAAATAAGTCATTGTATATCGAAACAGACAATTGGAAAAGGCAACAACATTAGCTGCGAAGTGCAACTGCGGTGTGCACGCTCGCAACTACACAGGACACTACATGCTACCAGCGTTGTGCAAGTAAATGGGATCGGTACATATTGTTATCTGGCGGTCATTCGATCGAGTATGTGTGCAAGTTCGGGGAAAGTTCGGCCCTGTCAATCACAGATTTAAAAAATCTCACACAGTGTTTAAAACATTTGTGCTGTAAGTTCTTTTATTTTGTAATTTCCTTGTCACATTTTGGTGTCATTTTTGGTGTCAACTGTTACCATCAAGTTAACGAGCGGTGGACTAAGCCTTAGGGGATGTTCGTTTGGTGTAAGTTTACCACCGCTCTGTGATTAGGTAATTGATCCAAATGCCAATAAATATAACACTTATGCCAATACAAATGATACGGGACTGACTAAATTTCACGGTGACCAGTGATTTCTAAGGCAATTATATGATTGGTTTATTCAATGTCAGTGCTCAGTTATCCGTTAAATACAACAGCAATTAACTATAAACAAAATTATCCTCACGGGAGGTAGTCCTACGTGGCCAACTGCACCACGAACGTGATTAATCAGCCTTATCCTTAACCTACAACAGAATAACCCTCTCGGTGATCAGGGTAGACCTCACAATAACCAGGTAACCCTCACAGTGATCAGGGTAACCCTCAAGTATAAATAAATAATCTACTAATGGCTTATAACTGATAAGTCTTGACCACACAAGCGAATCCAATCTTCGTAATTGTCCAACACAACTGGGTAGACTTATACAACAATAATCTCTACTGCCTTACAAAGCAAAACAGTTCCCAAACTGCAAAAAGGTTTAAGGTGACCTAAATAACCCTCACTCTCTTCAAGTTATTACGAAATAACACAGGTAAGTTGATTAAGAAGGCAATTATAATAGTCCTCACCAGACTCTAACGGAAACCTGCACCCAGTAAACCTCAACGAGGAAAGCAAGCTCCCAGACCAGGACCGCAACCAACCGTCGCTATGCCAACAAGCATGGAACAACGGCCCACAATCCTTCCAGTCTAAGCTTCGCTAATTCCCAAATTAACTGGTTCATTCGGGCTCCTTAACCCTATAATCTACCACTTCTTAAATAAACGAAACTGTCTAACGATTCCCCGATCTTCAAAGAGATCTGATATAATTGGTAGCTCCGGCAACTGGGAACAAGCACCACATTAACCGATCGCACCAGGTACACTTGAGATACATCCCCAACCACCAGCGGTGGTACGTCAGATTTACACTCGAAACTCAGAACACCACACAACTCCACAGAGCTCTAGTTAGCACGCTGCCATCTTGAGAAGTCCCAGCAACCCACGCAGCCAGCGCCCTAAGGTAACGGGCGCCTCTGATTGGTTGCCGCGCGTATGTTTAATGCATAATTTAGACGCGCCTGAATTATTAATGACCCAGACTAAACAAAAGTCTGCACATCTACCCTGTTTTGCAACAGTGTATAGGCTAAGTGTACAGGATTTAATGTTAGAATTTCTGGGTTTTCAGATAGAAAGTACAAGCTCCTTTTTTCCATTAAAGAATGCAATCAGCGGAAGATTATGAAGCAAGTAGAGGACTTGCAGAAGAGGGGGATTATTGGACCGTCTGACAGCCCCTGGGCTGCTAATGTGGTGTTAGTCCGAAAAAAAGGACGGGTCACGTCGACTTTGTGTTGATTATCGAGGCTTAAACAGGGTGACCATCAAAGGTGAGTACCCTGTGCCTCGGATTGACGAGACACTCGATGCTCTTGCGGGTG